ACTTTAAAATAAATAAAATAAATTTTTCAAACCGAATTTATGACTTTCTTAATTGGTTACACTTCAAATGCTGTACCCTGTAACATAACCTATTATAGAGTTGCTATCTCCCTTCTAAATTTAGTTTTTAAAAAAATTAATGTGGATTAAAACAATAAAAATATACAATAAATATCATGTACAAAACTTTAAATGTTTTTAAGGTTTAAATAAAATCATAATATTTAATAGGCTGCCACATTTTTGTGTTCATAAAATGTAAATGACATACAAATTAAAATTTAACTGTACCATAAGCTCGGAATTTGCATTTAAACACGCGTTATTGTAAATTTACTATATTACAGAGTTGCCATCTTTTTTCGAATGCAATTTTTCCGATAAAAATCATACATTTTAAAAAGCTGCTATGAACAGCAAATGCAACTCTTTTAATGTTTCCAAAGTTAGTATGAAATAATAATATTAAATAGGGTTGCCACATTTGTTAGAAAAAAATTAAATAACTTAAAAGTTAAAAAATAGCGTTACTATGGATAAGTATCTAAACGCGCTTTGCTAGTAAGATAATATATTGTAGAGTTGCCAACTGCTGTCGTATTAAAATTTTCCATAAAAACTATTTTGTATAAAAATGTATAGTGAAAACTTAGCACAAGACTTTAATTGTTACCAAGTTTGAAATACAATCATAATATTAAATAGGGTTGCCACATGTATTCAATAAAAAAATAAAAGAAAAAATAAGAGAAATATTTCAATCAATCGTATATTTAAGCAGAGTTGTCATTCTCAATAAAATAATTAATGGCTAAATAAATGCTATGATTCTTGCTTTCCTGTATGTATGAATACTGTAACTATTGAATAGAGTGTTTTCTTCAACCGCTCGAGTAAACCAGATCAGTGAAATGTTGTCTATTGTAGGCAAAACCGTTTCTTCACGAACAGCAATCTCCAACAGTAAACCAAATATTTCACACCTCATTTACAAAACCCAACACCAAGTAAAATTTTACGAAACGTCAAACTCTACTTAACTCAAAAAGAAATATTTACGCCGCTTTCAAACTCGAATAGGTGAAGGCTTTTTGCCACATAAGAAACGAAAAGAGCTCCGCGCCAACAATGAGGATATACGGGTGCTGCTACTCGACTGTCGGTAGAATGCATGCGTGAATGCGTGTTTATGCAAACTGCCATTAACGTCAGTGAAACTCTGCATTTCACTTATACATATGTATATAATATGTTTAAGTAGTATGTACTTGTTTGTGTATACTCAGGAAGTATGTTTCTATAGCCGGAAGCCAACGAAGAGTGCAGGAAGACGAAGGTGCATATCATGTTTACATTAGCACTGCCTCCCACAAACAATAAGAGCTGCTTCTGTTTTTCGAGCTCCACGATCTCTGAGCGAAAACATAAACAATATAACTGTGTATGTGTATAGCACGCATGTATGTTTGTATGTGTGCTTAGTTGCAGCCAAAGTGTTGGCAAAATGTTATAATTCAAATTTTCCAAGCTTTACACATGTAAAGTAATTAGGAAGAATTAGTAACTTGTAGCATAACTTAGCTCTAGTTTAAAATTTTATTAGCCTTTGCAGGGATGCAGCGCTGAAAAGTATGGATATATATAATTATATATGATCTACATACATATACAAAGAAGTATATTATATTGTAATTGTTGGGGGAGCCTTGTAAGTCTTTTAGTGGAAGAGGTATTGATCATTCTTCTTAGTCTAAGCTTTACGAAGTCCATATTTAGAAATCAGTTTTGAAAATATGTCAGATAACTGGTTTTTGGAGTATTTTCGAAAATGATTTATAAAAAAGGAGGAGAATTCTGATGAGCGTGAAGTCCTTGACCGTAAATCTGTTTATTAGAATTCATGAAAGCAACTCTGCCCTACGTTGAGATATTTATGTGAGAACATAAAATGCAGCATTCTTCGCCATAGAAATGGTTTTGAAGACACCGTTAGTGTCACCATTTCTCTGCAAAAAAAAAAAATATAAAAATATGGAAATGAAAAACGAAATGTCCCCATGTGTAGTATATATGTACACGAGCAACAAATTTGACAGCATTATCTCTGACATATGTCATAAAAATCGAATAAACTTCGGTCATATTGATTTCAACACGCGGTCGCCGTCGCCGCAAATAAATCTAAATGCATAAAAATCCACAAGCATCAGCATAAATGAGGCGCAGGTCTTTATACACACACATAGAGTATATATGTATGTATGTACATATGTATATATAACGCCTGTGTGGAGAGTCTTTAAGTATCGACAGACGAGCGAAGTGAAATAAATAAATTGAAACCGCCTGCCTTCAGCCACCAACCAATGGGTCGAGGCAGTTAACCACAGAGCTGAATTTAAAGTACTAACGGCGACCTACTTAACTCCTTTACGGCACACACACACACACACATACTATGAACACAACTGTAAATGTGTGTGTGTATACATATAGCCACATCTGTGTGTGGGTGTGAAGGCGCAACGTCGTAAACGTTTGATATGCGGGTGAGGTTGGATTGAACAAATAAAAATCACCATCAAAGCACATCGAATGTTGCAGATCATCAATCATTATGCGCACGCATGAGAACGACCGAGCGGCCACTGAAAGCGCCAACGAAGGATATGTTCAAGTGCTCCAACAAGCACATGCACATACAGCCACCGACAGCTACGTTGGCGCTCCGGTCGTTGGTGAAGGGGCTCGCGCTGATTCTCATCACAGCTGTCGAGTGCGAGTGAGCGTATGACGTTTGCAAAAAGGACAGCCCCGACAGCTTCCATACGCTTCGATTTATACATATAGTTCGCATTAAAGTAAACCACTCGCCGTTGCCGCTATTGTGCCTACGCCCGCTGCTGGCACAGCGGCGTAAACAGCTGCAAACTAATTCAATTTTTAGACACACACTCACACGCGCAAAAAAGGAATATCCTTATATTAAAGGCAAGCAACTCGAGCAGATCCAGCGCCAGTGTTGGCTTACATGTAGACCCTTTGGTTGCCTTCCGAGCGCCAACACGCGCCCAGTCTTACACACTATACATGAGCGCGTCAGATTGAAATTTATGAGTTTGTCATTTTACAAGCATCCACCAACACATACACAATTGTGGAAGTAAAGATCCCTGTAGAAAAAATATGGTAACGAACCATTGGAATGCGTACCAATTTAAAAAACACGGAAAACACTTTGAATTATATATGAGGCGTGGATCAAAGTAGTAAATAAAAACAAAGCAAAAAACTAGACAAATATAAATGAAGAAATCTTTAATTAATTTTAATTTTTTCATTCGAGTTGTTATTCGTCGATTTGCAGCGACCAACGATTTTATTTTATCCACATCAGCTTCAATAGTCCTTTAAGACGTGTTAAATCTTCAAGATCGAAATCTCCGGTCAGCAAATCTTCTCCGTACACATCAGATAATCTTCGCCTGACTTGAACTGCATTTTTATCTTTTTGATAGAAAGACAATAAAATATGCTGTAAATCCTGATGGAATAAACAAGCTGATGTTTAAACACCTAGGCTCAACGTTAGTAAGCTTCTTCACCAAGGTCCTGTGTAGAAAATCGGAAGAGTGTTCCACTACTGAAATCTGAGAAAGCCGCCAGCAAAGTAGAGTCCCATCACGCACCACTTGAGTCTAACAAACCACCAGCAGGGCTTCCGAAGAGTGTACAGCACCACCACAGCACTTAGCGCCAAGGACGATTCTCGTAACGTTGGACTTGTCAACAGCTCTTGACACAATCAATCACAAAATGCTACTTAAAGACATCAAAAAACCTACGTAGCGTATACAGAAGTGGACTATGAACTACTTGAGCGGGGAAAAGCCAAATAAATGTTGTTGGTAACGTACAATGCAATCGGCCGGCCGGTCCTCAAATACGCCGCACCAATATGGTCGCCTAGATGCAGTGAAACGCAGACGAAAAAGCTTCAAACATGCCAGAAAACTGCACTCTTGATGCTTCCTATCGCACATCTGCCCTGTGAGATCCGCATGCTCTCAGTTAAAGAGCATAATGAACTCCAGTCCGAGTAGTTTATGCTGGGTTTTTTTTTTTGTAGAAATCATCTGCTTGAAGCGGAACCGCTTCCTGGGAACATTAATTAGTTCTTGTTCGACTTCGAACGCGGAGGACCCCAAAATATCAAATATTTGGTACGAGTCCCCGCATGACTCTAACCATCGCTTTGTATGTATAGCTAACACAACACATCTGAAACCCCCACTCCCTGTGGTCCGGCCCCGTCGAAGCAGCAAGTTTCCTGGTCCTACCTTTGGATGACCTTGATGACAAATTATCTGAACCTTATCATCTTAACCGGGACTAGATAACCTTTAAAACGAGAACAACCTTACATATCTATGAGGGTACTTTCAGTAATCACTGAATACTATGAATTAATTAATTGCGATAAAACAAAATATCCTATTCGTTTAATTTTTCCAGCTGGGTATGCACACATACTTAAACACTAACGCTACGTGCAGCTCGCTTCTATCGCTTGTCTGCCCGTTTGTAGTAAAATAGAGATGCGTTACGCATATTGATTTTTGTTCTATATGATTTTTGACACAAATTCAATTTTCACCAACCATCCACCCATCGTTTGTACGTAGTTTTAGGTGCAACTTGTGGTTGGACGAATGAAATTGAAAAACTGAAAACTRAAAACTGGGCTTTCAGTTACCAGCAACAACTTCCCCTTTCGTAACTTTCATTTCCTGCAGTTAAGGTCGTCTAGATGTGCCAGCAAAATATTCGTTCAACTCGGGTATGGGGAACACAATCAATTTGTTCACTAGTTGACACACAACAACTAACTCGTACATATCTATGTATATATGTATGAGTACATATTGAGTTATTTAGACGCATATGTCCATTTTAGATGCTGCGGAATATTTAATTTTAGAAATGTGCAAATCACTCACCTGACACTCAATCGGCCATCTGGGGGCCTGCTGTGAGCAATCATGATCCTTATCTTTCGGCAGGGCGAAGAGATCACGAGGTTCTTTTAGACGTGCAATCGGTCGCAACGTTTTTTCATCTGTATTCACCTCCAATTGATTGGTTTTCAGGCCTTTGGAAAGAAAGTTGCCCAGAAAACCTGAAAATAATTTAGAAAAGGTTTGAGAACATATTTCGAAAATTGTTTATTTAGTGATATCATATATGGTTGATCTTATGCAAGTACTATGTCCCCATTGTAAGATTTAGCAAACGAGGTTATCCTTTAGGAAGGCAGAATATATAAAATCAGTACATTCGATGTTGCCATCTTATTTTACTAAACCCCAATGATTTGACGTTATATTTTTTAGGGGTACATAATTTTAAAATATTTTCCAAGGTTGTCTCGTTATTAGTGAAAGCAATGGGGAGCGATAAATGAAGACACATTTCAATGTTTATTTTAAACCGTTGAATAAGGCTTGACACTGACTCTGTAACTGAATTTCGAAAAAGCATAATTCTAAAAGAGATTCTTCTGGAATAATTTTTTGAAATGAAGTCGCCACCTAGCGAAAAAATAAATCAGAAAAACTATTCCTATACGAACGTGAAAAGTAAGGTTTTTATGTAAATATCTGCTGTTAGAAATTGAGGTAACTTAAGTAAGAGTTACCTTTCAAACAAAAATTAAATTATAAAAATAAATGAGGTCTTCCGAAATATTCAATCAAAAAAATATATAATAAACATAACTCAAACAAAATTAAATCCAAAAAATAGGCAATTGGGAAGCAATTGAGACACAAAGTTCTCTCTTGACGAACAAAAACCAAACTCTATTAGTCACTCATCATCCCGTCCTGCTATATGGTGCAGAGGCATGGACGATGACAACATCTGATGAGTCGACGTTACGAGTTTTCGAAAGAAAGGTTTTGCGGAAGATTTATGATCCTTTGCGCATTGGCAACGTCGTATATCGCATTCGAATGAATGTATGAGATATCCTACGACATTGACATAGTTCAGTGAATTAAAAGACATCGGGTACGCTGCCTAGGTAACCGCCGTTGGAAAGACCAGGTTGAGAAAGATCTGAATGCACTTGGAATCTCCAATTTTCATAAAACAGGAAAAGAAGAAACGACTAGTGCAGTTTTTTTAACTCGGCTATGACTGCGTAAGCGGTGTCTAAGCCATTGAAGAAGAAGAAGAAGGTCAATCGTAGGTTAAATTAGGTTAGGCTGGGTCCGATGACCTCCTTCAGCGTGGCGGTTAGCTATCGACAAAGCGCTTTGAACCCAACACAAATCTTCATTGGTGTTGCATTTCTAGTTTCGCTACTTCACCTGGATGTCTAAAAGTATGTGATGCGACATGTTTTTTGCCTTGACCTCTTGATCTGGCAAAATCGGTACACTCGAGTCGGAAGTGTTGAGAAGTCTTTCTCATCTTCATTCAAAAAGTCAATGCAGTTGGCAACCGGTAAGATGTTCAACCTTATTGCACGACACCCGATCGGACAGTGCCTCGTTAGAACTCCTACAACCACTGAAAGGTTGACCATGCTGAGAGCAGAGTTAAGCGTAAAGAGCTTGCCGAAAGTATTTAGTAAACTTTCAATTGAGACATATTTTAGCATAGAGTTCCCACCCCCCAGAATATTAAATAATTTGCGCTAAGATACAAATCACACGAAATCTGCTAGAAAGTTTTTGAAAAACTTTTAATTAAAATATATTCTGTAATAATGTAAGCTAAAGATGATTCTGTGATAGGTTATATTGAAACTCCATCATGTCGGTAATTTATGTACAAATAATTGTGTCTGATACATTGAGAATTGCTATAGTTATGATGAAGATGCTTTAGATACCCTCATTGCATCATATTTAGTTTCTTTCAACCATAAAATTGCACTTTTAATGGCACTGAGTAACTTAATAAAGTAAAAACAAAGACAAAAGAACCCCTTAAGCTGTTAAGCGAACAACTCACCAAAACTAAAAGAGTATACTAATTGCCAGCAAACCCGAAACACATCAAAACATAACCTCTTTTTGCGGCCGAAACAACTAAAGCAGAAAAGCCATTAAATTTGCCGCATTAAATGTCCTTGAAAAAAATGTAAACGCAGAGAAGAGTAAATAAAAACTCGATGAAAACACTTCCCCGCAATGGAACCATTTCAACCAAGTGGAAACTGAAAAATGCTTAGAAAAACAGCAGCAAGAAATTAAATATCAAATTTTAATGTCGCCGAGTCAAGAGTGAGCACGAGACGCAAAAAAAATTGTGAAGTGGTTATAAGGAGAACACGAAGTTAGCGCAGCATTTTCGTGGCAAGGTTGAGGGCCGCTGTATTCGAGGTTGATAGAGTGAACTGAAGACGCCACGTTGCAATGCTCAAAAATTTAATAGAGCAAAAGTAATTGCGGTTCAGATGGTGACAAAGACACGCCACGAGCATACATAGTAAGTGAGACGTTAAGCGGCGGTGCCAGGAGTGCAAAAGTACGAGCAGGATGCTGCTGTTTGCCGTGCAAGTAACGGTAGCGTAGAGTATGTGTGTTGGCGCTTTCGTATGTCGCAAATGCAAACAATCGCTTTCAGACGCAAACGCACTCACGCACAAAGATAGTTATTCACACACACACATAGAAGTATATGCTTGAGACCCACATACAAATATATTTTTCGCAGTAACACACACACAGTCTGGTTTCGTAAGTGCCAAAATATAAAGGCGCGCCCCACAAACAACAACAAGTATTGTGAATTGTCTCAAAGTGCCTCGAAAAATATGTGCAATCAAAGAAATAAACCGAAAATGCAGCAAAAGCGTTGGAACACAAACAAACAAAGTGACAGCAGTCTGAGAGCGGAATTACAAGCATGAAATTGTTTCGGTTTATGATGAATTGCCGCATTGCAAGCAAGCATTTTTCTAGGTAGATAGGTGTGTTTTGTGCGATTTGGCTCTAAAAATTCTCGTCACATACATATTTAGAGAATTTTGAGAGCATTTACACATTTTCCTCACACTTGTAATAATTCGAAGAATATTTGTTTTTTTTTTTTGGTTTAGTAAAAGTAGTTGTCGCAAACTTGTCAATGAGAGGTTATAACATCCCCTATATGCCCTCAGGGAAGCCTTTTGAAAAAAATTTTATGATTTCTAACTAAGTTTCCTATGGACTGCGTTGAATTAAGTTGTCCGCAACATTTTTTCCATACTTTGCAATTAAAATTTCCAATTAGAAAATGTATTTTAGTAGCTCTGAAATAAATGCCACAAATATTATACGCCCACTAGAGTCAATAAAATGATATGTTACTACAGCAAAACAGCCTTAGACTGATTCCAACGGAATGAAGGGATTTTAGTACCTAGAGAAGCGAGTCCACCTAACTGTCCAGAACTAAGGCCGATTGAGAGATATTGGGCTTTAGTAAAAAGAGAGATGAAGCCAACAAAAAAAGTGACCTTCAAGTCTTTAAAAGAAAGTGGTCTTCTGCAGCCATGAGAGTATCGGACACTACCATAAAATCACTAATGGTTCCGGAAAAAAAAGAATTATTAATAAAACATAATTCTTATTGTCTTTTTCCATTTTTCAAACTTAAAATAAATTGTTTTAATAAAATATTTTAGTTTATGAAATGGGGACTACTAGTTTTAAAGTGTTTTTTTTTCATTATAGTAACCGACAATTTTATTCGACGCAGTCCTTAAGCCAATCAAGAACTCAGCGCTTTTTGTTTTTGTCCGCTAATTATCCTTAACGAACCCCAGATTTAATATGAAAGCGTCTCTAAAAAAGTATGAAAGTATATTGGGCTTGTTTTTTTTTAAACTATCAGACGTGAAAGTAGGCCAAGCACACAGCACAACAGGAAGCAAATCAGAGCTGAAAGTTAAAAATTGGAAAAATCTGATCTAATCAAACAGCCAAACTAACTTCGAGAAGTTACATCCGTTTTTATACGTTTTCACTGTGTACTTAACCTTATACTTAAACAAACTTAACTTCGACTGCACCGGAGCTATAATTCCCTTCACAGGTGCATTTCTGATAGTCTTAAAAGGTATATCATGATTTTAATCTTGATTTTGTTCATTTAATTTTTATGTCAGCTATATGTTATAGTAGTCCAGAGACTACCAGAGACCAGAGAGTAGCAGAGATTATAGCGCTGCATAGGACAATAATCTGTGCCAACTTTCGTAAAGATATCTCATGAAATTAAAAAGTTTTCCATATAAATGCTTAGTTTGGATCGGTCAGTTTGTATGACAGCTATATGCTATAGTGATCTGATCTGAATTATTTCTTCAGAGATTTCGTTATTATCTTAGGTAATTATCCATGCCAAATTTCATGAAGATAATTTCTCAAATAAAAAAGTTTACCACACATGGATTTGTGGATCAGTTTGTATTTTACAAAAGTGCAATATCGGCGGTTTCAACAAATGAGCGATTTCTTGGGTTGAAAAAAGTGTATGTGCAAAATTTCAGCTCAATATTTCAAAAAATTATTGACAATCGCCTGAGGGCAAGCTGTCGGATCATTAGTCTGTGAATTATATCATTTTGAGAGAGCAACTTTTGTTACTGTGAAAAAATTGATAAAAAGAAATTCCGCGTATTAATAAAATATTGCTTTTTGAAAGGAAAAAATACGTTGAAGCAAAAATTTGGCTTGATGACGAGTTTCCGGACACTGCTCCAGGAAAATCAACCATTATGCATTGGTCTGCTAAGTCTAGATGTGAAAAAGTCCACAGAATAATTTCAGATGCCCGAAAAGTGAAATTGTTCGAAATAGCAGACACTCTAAAGATATAAACTGATTGTGTAAATCATATCATTCACGAATCTTTGGTATCAGAAAGCTCTGAGAAAAGTGTTATGTTCAACCATAATAAACGCAAGTTCTTTCGTCGATATGTGGTAATAGATGAAACATGGATACAAAATATCGCTCCGAAGTTCAATATACAGTCATCGCCCGAATTGTACACTATGAACCCGCTCGGAGGAAAATTGCAGCAGCCAACTGAGCAATGTTCTGGTGTCTGCATTTCGGATGCGCATGGAATAATTTTTATTGACTACCTTAAAAAATTAAGAACCATTAACAGCGACTA